TGTCGTTCTGCTGTTGTTGCAGTTGCCGTTATTGTAGATGCAATTCGAATTTGGTTTGGTCGATTCATTGTAATCGGTTTGGTAGTGGTAGATACCGTTGTTGGCTGTTGTTGCCATCGATGCTGGCTGTTGATGTAGCCATTGATGGTTGTGGGCCGTGTAGTTGTGGCCATTGATGGTTACGGCATTGCCTATAAAGGCGGATGTGATAATGATTTTGTTTGTAGGATTGTAGGTTTTGGATTTGGGTACCCTCACACTCATGTGCACTTGCTGTGATCAAATAGCAAGGGCATGGTCTTGTAATGGTATCTGTTGTTGCCTACCTAGAGGCTGGTGTTGCCTCAGGTTTGCCTGTAATCAGTGGAGGAAGTGCTGTGTTTCAGTTGCACAATACACTTTCCATAAAAGGTAGTAGGAGGTGCTGTGGCTTTGAATGCCACAATACATACTCCATGAAAGGGTAGGAGGTGCTGAGTGCAAACTCGATACACACTCCAAGGAAAATATTCAATGCTGCTGGGATGCACTCCTGTGCTTCCTGTAGCTGCTGTGCATGGTGGTTCTGCTTGCACTGTTCCGGTGGCTTGTGTGCCGGTAGCTAGCTAGCTTCCTTCTGCACGGTATGCTGTATGGCATGCTGTACCGGTACCAGTGGCTTGGATCTCCACGGGAGATCCTCTTGATGCCAATGCACCGAGAGATCTGGCTCCGTGGAGCAAAGACATCCTCGAAAGATATCACGGAAGATACCTTTTTCGTTGTGACGTTCAGTGGCTGTGCTTGTGGTCGCTGAACTGCTTGGCTTTGTTCTGCACTGTTCCGTGAAAAGGCTGCACAAACCACAAATTTCGTGTCGGCACTTCTTCTCTTGTTGCTGACACTCTTCTTGCCAACACTGTAGCAGCTATCGGTATTGTCAACCGATGGCTGTCCTCTTGTTGATCTTTGTGTCGGCACTACTGCGGCTGACACTCCTGTTGCCACTGTCGGTATCAGTAGTAGCGATCGTTCGATTGCTTCTTTCGCCTTGTTTTTTGGACTGGTGGAATTTGCAAAATTTGCAAAATTAGCTGTTGCCGACGGTCGCAATGGCACTGTTCCCGTCGGTCGCCACGGCTCTGTTGACGCTAGCTGCTAGCGGCTGGCTAGTAGTAGCCGCCGTTGTTCTTGTTGACAGTAGTAGCGATCGTTCGATCGCTTCGGTCGTCTTGTTCTTGGCTGCTGGTGGAAATTGCAAAATTCGCTCTTATCCAGCTTGTTGCCAATTGGAGGATGCGACTTGTTCCTGTTGCATTCGAGGGCTTGCACTCTTCAGGGCCTGTTGTGCTAGTGTTCAAAGCACAACTTCCTCTTTGACAGTCCTGTCGTAGGACCTGTCGTTGCCGTGTAATCGACCTGGCAATTTGTCTTGTTGTGCGTTGGGATTTTCCGTCGTACGCACCTCTCCTCTATCGGCACTGATTCGATGCCTTGATAGTAAGGCTCTTGGAACTCCCACGGAAGTACCTATGTGATAATTCTTGTTGGAGTTTGATATCTAACTCCTCTTCCGTGGCAACACTTCGTGTCGCTCCTCTTGGCTTGCTGCTGTGCTCACAGTAGCTCTGCTCCGTACCGTACAGTAGCTTCTGCTCCGTATTGTACAGTAGCCTTGCTCCGTACAGTAGCCTTGCTCGTTCCTGTTGGACTTGTCGTGGTAGCTAGCTAGATAGCTTGACTGCCACTCCTGCACTTCTTCGTGCGATGAGTCTTCTCTTGTAGTTGTCTTTCGTACTTGCACGTAGCAGTCGTACGATGGCTGTTTCCGCAGCACAAAGTATCTGCTCACTCCTGTGAGCTTGCAATTGCCTTGGTTCTTCTGGTTTCATTCGATCGCTCACTCCTGTGTGAGCTTGCTTCCTTGATCCGGAGCTCACTCCTTTGAGTTCCTTGCTCCGTTCGTTCGTGTGAGCTTGGTTGCTTGGTGATCCTTCTCGTGATCCGCCCGGAGCTCTCTGCTGGCTCCAAATCGGTATCTCGTTCTTGGATTCGTTTCCTTCAAGCATAGAACTGGTGTAGTTAGTGGTGTTCTTTAACGTGTTATACTCTGGTTGTCCTCCGGTTGACTGGAGCGCGAGGCAATTTCGTGCTCATCGACACTCGTGCGGAGCTTTGCCTGTTGAGCTGTTTTGGTAGCCCTTATAGTGGGGCTCCAACACTATCTGCGTTGCTGCTCAACTGGTACCTTAGCAGTAGACTTATCTCTTATAGGAATGTTGATATTGATGTCGTCGCCATTCCCATGCGAGATCACGATGATTTGATCTTCTTGGAAATAGTGTTGGTTTCTAGTAACACTCTAGCTTAGTAAAGGTAAAATACTGTTTTACTGTTAAGCTATTCCAAGAAGTGATCTTTCTCCATGTTTTCTGGGATTGATTCAACTTCAAAGGATATAGTGAAGGGGGTGACCATATAGATCAGTTAAACTCCCCATGTATGTAACTAGAGAATAGATATAGATATCCCCTATCAACTAGATTGGGATAAACGACTAATTTGTATTGAGGTGTCTGTAATACAACCTCCAACACATTGCCCTAGCACTGGCCACACAGGATTCTATCTACTGCAGGGCTGCGAGTCCTACTGGGTCTCAGGGTTACTCTTTCATTACTATCTTTCTTACTATAAGCTAAAAACGCCATTACCACGATTTCACTCCAGTTGACAGAACTGGCTCTTTTGGAGAGGATATCCACAGCTGGAGATCCTAGGAGAGGACTGTTGGTCTGGATCATTCCAATGTATCTAGGCTGAAGGCTATGTATGCTCTGCAACACATAGGCATGCCTCAGCTATATACAAATTGTCACATGGCTGCAATGCTGTGTGTACTGATTGACTGTACACGATCAAAAGCATTGTTTCCATCCGACTAAACCAGCACAGCTGTGGCGCACCCATAGAGGCTCCTATTGCTAATTTCATCGACATCTGTGCAGGATTGGTGTTCCGTTTGGCGATTCGATGCATGTTTGAAAGGTCAGGATACTTAAGCCTGTGCAGGAAGCGGTTTTACTGGTTAATAGGAGATATAAGGTCACTAGTTCAATTCCTGCATAGCAACGCTTTTGCACCCGTAGTATCTTTTACTATAAATTATACTGTAATAATCTACCTGGAAGCGCAGTCATGAATTCTCGAAATTATGTCTTTCTTAGATATTTATATAAGCCTGTGCTTGATACGAAACGTCTTATTCTTACTATCCTGCATAGACACGTTTACTAAACAAAGTACTGTAGGAATCTACAAAATCACGATTCGAAAAGGAATTTGTGCCATTTATGCAAACCACTGTGGGAATATATAGTAAAATAGTACGATTGTGCTTTGTCAACCCAGAATGGTGCTCTATCTCGCTATTAATAGTAGTCTTGCTATACCGTACAGGTTTGCAGCACTTTCTCTTTCTTTATCTCTATCCCTTGGTTTTCAATAAAATAATTTTATTACAACAATCCATCCTCAGTGGCTCCCCCTAGGGTCGTTAATCTGTTGATTTGGGCGAGCTGAGCAGAAAGATCATTCTTTCTGGCTGGTCGCTCTGAAATCTGGTTTTTAAGAATGCCAGTTTCCTTAAAATCCTACGTCAGTGCGGTCTTTTTCTTATCCGGGTCCGCTAAATATCGAGACCAGCCAACAGTCATGGGATATCTAACAGAAAACCAATGATCGGATACCGGTACTGGTACCACATCTATGGTACCTGGTACAGATTATGTATACTACATGTAGCTAGGTGGTACCGTTACCGCGCACAGGATGTTGCATTGCAAATGCAATGAGCAAAGTGAGAGTCAAGTCGAGTCCAGTTTGACAGTGGCAAAGGATCCATTATTCGAAAGCTTCTTTACTAGTATTCGAGCGTAGATTTTTTTGTTTGGTTGGAGCTTTTCTGTACCGGTACCGTAGCGAGAAGAAGCAACATGGCTGCAGCGACGGCATAAGCCCTGAAGAGCCGTGGCAATGCTCTGTTTACCAAGGGCCAGTTTGCTGAAGCAGGAAACTGCTATTGGGAGGCGATGATATCTCTTCTGCAAGATGGGCAGAATGATGCTGAGAACAAGAAAAAGGCATTGAGAATCAAGGAGAAATGACAAAGCAAGCGAATGATAGTGCTTATTTATATGCTGTCGTTCTTTCCAACCTCTCCAATTGCAGATGTGAGCTTGGATTATATGCGAACGCTGTCGCGTTTGCAATTCAAGTTCTAGATCAATGCAATGAACTCGCGCATTCAGACAATGATGTGCAATTGCAAGCCAAAGCAAAGGGTTTGGCACAGAAAAATCTATTAATACTTCGGATGGCTCGAGCTCTCTTCTATCAGAAACGCTTTGGCGATTGTCAAGAGACTCTAGCAAAGCTCATACTTTCCTGCCCATCAAATCAAAAGGATCCCTTCTACAAGAGAGCTTCGAAAATGATGAATCAAGTGGCTCAGTATGCTCAGTCCCAGGAAGAAGGCCAGCACCAGAAGAATAGACTCAGTGATGTGGGGTCCATACAAGTACCGCTGTTACGTCCATCGTGGATGCACCCTACTTGTGAATACTACAAGTTTGGACATGACCCTACCATGTCAGCACTGGAGAACACAGGTGATGGCGCAGCTGGCAGGAAGGAATTGAATCTCAAAGACACGTCGTCTCCGCTTTCCATCCTCATGTCGGGAATCGATGACGGGCGCCATGTTATGGCGACCATGATGCACCTGAGGGAGAAGTACGAAGGTCTCGTCGACCAGGAAGGTGCCAGAGCGTTCCTGGTTTGTAACGACATCAACCGAGCCACCATGGCACGTTTTGTTGTGGTGATGGTTATTCTCTCCAAGGTTGGACACATGGCGAAGTTGATGGCTGAACTCAGAGCTAACGTGGAGGCATCCAGGTGGTGCGCAGTTTTGGAGTATTTTTTCCTTTCTTACGCGATGCCAGAATGGTACAGGGACATGCTTGTTTCAGTCATGAAAGAGATTAAAGCTTTTCCGTCGCGGGCTTCCTTTCAGGAGGCCTACCCATGGTTGCGATGTTGCGATGTTGCGATGTTCATCTGACAATGATTTCGAACTCATTTGTCCAATCTTATCCTATTGGATCTGTCAAGCTTCGCCCGATTGCGATGACGGAAAGGATTGCGACCACCCTTCCAATTGGATGGACGTTCCTTCGGTTGCCAAATGTTTGGAGCAGTGTGAGATCTCGCGCTTGGACGAATCTCTTGCTGCGGAGACCTTTGCTTCCATGCCGAAAAAGAATAGAGACTATGTGCAGCACGCACGAGAGTCTTATGACACCAGCACAAAAGCTGCAGCAATTGAGCATTTCAAGAACCTTGACAACTTATCTCCAGAAATGAAGCAGCAGTTGAAGCAAATGTTTCCTCGAGCTTCGACTGAAACCCAAGCATTGGAACAATTCGTCCAGTTCATGGAGGAAACCCCAGGCCAAGAAGAGAATGGAGAATCGCACTTTCTCAAGGTTCGAAGCAGTACCTTCTCAAACCTGGTATTCCATTTGCAAATGCATTGTTCAAGTGTCAAAAGCCATTCTGCCTCCTAGAGAACTTTGCAATGATCCAGTGTTTGTCAAAGTCTATGAATTTTCAGAGAAGATTGACTTCCTTCGAGCTGCGGAAGGAGCTGCAGCCGGGAGAGACATCAATGAAACCCTAACGGCAGCCCTCAAACAAGTTCAGAAAGATTTCTCCAAGCATGCAAAGGCGGCCCGGGGTGTGATTGAGACGACATGGATCACAAACCCTTGCATGTTTGATCCTCTTGAGATTTCGTTTGGCAAAGCACCACCCTGCAGCTTCTCGCCCGTCACAGACTTTGTGGAACACTTCAACTGCACTGACTTCTGCAAAGAGCCAATCGACGTCCCCATGGGTCACAAACTGCTTGCAAGGGAAACAGCAACTTCGGCTGCCACCGCGACACAATTTGCTGACTATACCAAGTGCTTCTTTTGGACTACTGCTAATGCTCTCGTAGTGTTGGTGACAGAAGGTGTCCTTTCGTTGACTTGGAACGTGGGAGATGCTGGGTCAGCCTTCCAAACAAGTGGCAAGCCCACACAGAAGTTTCACCGAATCTTGGCAAGCAACATCCCGGACTATACACAGGGATGATGGCTTTTTTCACTGAAGTCTTCGGTCTCCTACACGAATCTACGGAAAACGTGACAGCCAGTGCTGGAGTCAGGTGATTTCTCCGATGAACTGATTGTCCGATGAACGGATGTGGGACTCACCCTAAGTCTCCCCCATCGGGAAAATGCCCCTCATCGGAAAATTCCCCTTGTTCAAAAGGGTGCCATCGGCCCTTCTAGTTGGACAACCAGAGCCACCCATTGCCTCCTAAGGACCTCAGTGGAACCCAGACTCATCCCAGACTCATCCCAGACTCATCCCAGACTCAGCTCCGATCAAAAAATTTGAGATTGACGGCTTCATTTTCTCCCAAGCCGCAAACAAAATAATGGGATCTGATGAAGATGGATCAACCTCTGACAATGAGAATGATCGCCAGAAGTTTCTTCAGATCTTACATGAACAGAATCTACGTACCGCGGAAGGACAACTTCGAAGGCAACGGGGACAGCTTGAAACCGCGGAAGGACAACTTCGAATGCAAAGGGGACAGCTTGAAACCACAGAAGGAGAAATCCAGATCAAACAAGCCAATGTAGCATACTACGAGAAGATGGTGGATCTTCAGAAGGGAGGGTTTATTCCGCCTGTGGGTAGTCTCCAGGTTCCACTTGGTCTGAATGTCTCGTCTTTCCCAACAGCATCCTCGGGAGATATTCCTTCACATATTGGCGCCCGCAAACCCGATACCAAACCATCAAAGGCGCCACCCAAGCTTGACTCTCCCGATACTGCATCAAAGAAACCAGCCACTGATGAATCTTCTCAAAAGTCGAGCCAATCGGCCAGAGCCAAATCTCCCGATATTGGATCAGAGGAATCGAAGAAGCCAGCCAAGGAAAGAGACCAATCTTCCAATATGGAAGCAGAGCAATCGGCTCATGGCAAACATAACAGAACTGAGATTGAAAAACCAGTTCCGGACTTGTTCATTTAGCCAAACCAAACATGTGTTCCAAGCACCTTCGACCCAAATCAAGAGTACCGGTGCGTTCTATTTTGGCTGGTGCTTCTACATGATCCAAAGTAACAAAATAAAGGGAGGTGGCAAAAAAAGGAGGAGTTACTGTCTTGGTACCATGGAGTGTGAAATCGAAGGTTGTCCATTCTCACTTCGGCCACTTACCCCAGCAAAGAACAAACTTGGGGCACCTCCGAAACCCCAAACCAAAACTTGTCCTAGGCACAGTGATCGTCCTTTGAAATGGAATCGTTGTGTTGGCGGGGAGTTGTCGTCAAATAGACAGCATCCAGTGGAAGGTGGCGATCCATGCACTGTTTATGAGACATCGTTGCCCGGGAAAGACTCGGTTGAAATTTCGCATCATGGAGTTCAGGTACAAATTCTTCAAGAGAGCTTCAAGTGGCCAAAGGAGGGCCGATGGTTCATATTTTGCAGTTGACTCTCTTTTCTATGAAGTTCTTGACATCAACCATTCATCACAAGACCCTCCACCGATGGGTTTCCAGGATCACTTATGGGTAGCTGGGCATCCAAAGGAGCAATCACGTCAGACACCAACTACACCCAAGGATACGGCAAAACCACTTGAAGGCATCAGCAGCAGCAGTAGTAGCGACAGTGATGACAAAGACCTGGGATCACCCGAAGGTGAAGATTCGAAATGTGGAGAACTCCAGCGCCACTGCCAAGATTTGGAAAAGGCCAGAAAGGAAAGAGTCAAGAGAGAAAAGGAGGCAACGAAACAGGAGCGTAAGACTTCCAAAAAGGGTGATTCCACAAAGGCCCAAAAGAAGCCTCCAAAGAAGACTGGCACACCCAAGAAGACCAAGCAAAAGCTTCCCAAATCACCATGCAAGGAGGTCAAGCAAAAGAAACCTCCAGAAAAACCCAAGCCCAAACCCAAAAAGGGCAAACCGAAGAAGAAAGTGTCTGATACTAAGACTGCTGGGGTAGCGGAACCTTCTAGAAAACGACGTACAGAGGTCAGCAAATCTGCAAGGCGGAGAAGCACTGCAACTCAGGAATGGTCTTACCATAAAATGCTAAAGGCTGGGGAAGATTTCTACTGCCACAACCACAACTGCAGGGCAAGGATCGCTTTGATGGACCCTTTCTTCACACACAGAAGGCCCCCCAATGAGAATGGGGAGGACCAGGAAGTGTTGCACTACCACACCGGCTGGTATTGCCTGGGCATTCCTGTCACCGACAGAGAAGGTTTCCTTGCGGCCGACTTTGGAGACGGTCGTGGTGCTTCTGTGCAAAATATGTGTGAGGATTTCTGGAAGTTGGAGGAGAAGCAGAGGATGGATCAGAAGTCTGGTAGAGCTGATGAGGCCCATGGTGAGGCTGATTGATGGTCTGTGTGAGACTTGGGGGAGACTCGGAGGCATCTTGGAGCCTTT